TTTTTTTAATTTTCTTGGTTTTTAGATTCACTTGTTGATAGTTACGTATTTGTTGTTCATAATTTTAATCTTTATTTACTTTCTCTTCTGAAAGAACCCCCTTCAGCAATTCATATAATTCTGGTTTGGTGGTGATGAACTCCTTTAGCTTTTTTTTATTAGTGAAGCTCTTTATCTGACCTTCGAATTTGAGTGATAGCTTTGCTGGATAGATTATCTTTGGCTGTAGGTTCTTACTATTCATCACCTTGAATATTTCTTGCCATTCCCTTCTGGCCTGCATGGTTTCTGTTGAGAAGTCAGCTGACAATCATATAGGTGCTCCTTTATAGGTAACTATCTGCCTAGCTCTTGCTGCTTTTAATATTCTCTCTTTGTCTTTTGCTCTTGGAATCTTAATTATGATTTGTCTTGGTGTGGTCCTCTTTGGATTCCTTTTATTTGGAGTTCTGTGTGCTTCCTGGACTTGTAAGTCCAATTCTTTCCCCAGGTGGGGGAAGTTTTCTGTCACTATTTCTTTCAATATGTTTTCGATATCTTGCTCTCTCTCATCTTCTGGGACCCCCATAATTCTGATGTTGGATCGTTTGAAGTTGTCCCAGAGGTTTCTTACATCATCTTCAATTTTCTGGATTCTCTTGCCTTCTAGCGACTGCAGAGGAGTATCTTCTGGCTCTTTATGTTCCAAATCTTTGACTTGATTCTTGCGATCTTCTATTCTGTTTTTAGGACTCTGTATAATAGTTTTTATTTCAGACAATGTATTCTTTATTTCTTGTTGATCCCTTTTCATATCCTCATAAGTCTCATTTATTTTATCGGCCTTTTCTAGGAAACTCTTGAAAAACCTTATAAGTGTGGTTTTGAACTCTATATCCAGTCGCTTTTTGTCCTCCATTTCTTTCGTTTGTGATCTATTTGGTTTAGGCATTTTCGCAGGCAGCTTTCCTGATGGGGCGGGGTTTCAGGGTGGAGCCTACAGCTTTGGCTTTCGTCAGCCCCGCCCTATGCGACTCCTGAGACTCAGGGTCCTTCAGTGCTCGCTGCAAGCGCCTCTGAGAGAAAGGCGCCCTAGATTTTCGCCTGCTACCAAACAGTCTAGTCTCTCCCCCAATGGTCCCGAAACTGGGGTTCAGTTCAGTTGGAAGTGGGGTTGGAGGTGGCGTTCAGAGCAGTCTGGAGCCCCTGTCTCCTTCCCGCCAGGCAATCCCGCGGCACAGCCAACCGTCCCTTCTCTGCGCGGCGCCGCCGGGACCTCCTTTCGCCTCTTCCCCGGGTTCCGCCTTTCAGCCCGGCTCCCTCTGTGTGAGCCTGGGTCCCCGGGGTCTGGCCTAGGCCTGGGGTTCAGAGCAGTCAGAATGGGGCCAGCACAGTCGGAGCGTTTGTCTCCTTCCCGCCAGGGAACGCCCGCCAGGCACTCCGCTCCCTCCTCTCCGGCTCCGTCCTCTCCGCGCGCCGCGTGTCTCCGTACCTTAGGCTTTTCCAGCTCCTCCGCGCTTCCTTCTGGTTTTCTCCTTGCTTCTCGTTGTAGAATTTCCAGTCAGTCAACTTTCCTGTAGTTCTGGGTGATGTCCATTTTATATTTTAGTTGTATTTTGTTGAAATTGTTGTGTGCGGCGCGGCTAGGTGCCTACCCGAGCAGCCATCTTGGGTTCTCTCCTAAAAGTAGTTTTAAATGGATTAAGTTTTATATGCACAAACTATTGGCCTGCTGGGTATCTGGCTCAGGTCAGGTACTTGTCATATTTTCTATTGAATTGTAAGTGATTTTCCCCCCAATTACATTCTGTCCAGAAATGAAATTTATTTCAAGATCCGTGTGAGGCACTATCTTAAGAAATATGTGAGCCCACATTTACTCCAGTCTGGAGCTACCAGTTTTTCATATTAGGCATAGGAGCTGAGAATTGGAAGACACAATAGCCAAGTCAGTTTTGAGCAAGTTTCCAGAATCAACAGGACCACTTACTTGGATGTTAGTAGCCAATCTTCTTGAGATGCCATGTGTTGTGCCACAAGGTCCTATGGCCTACGTCTAACTTCATTTTCGTAGGCTTCCCTTCTTTCTACTCAGTCAGTTGCAGAGAATTTTGACTTAAAAGACATTTTTGCTTTAAATAGGCAATTATATTGTAGAATATACTGTCAAAAAAGATGCATGTTGCTGTTTTTTTTTTTTTTTATAATTGGATATGGGACTTTTAAAAAAAATTGCTACACATAGGTAATCAGAGGCAAAAAATAAACCTTTCCTTTCTACACATACTGGTAGATAAGGTCTGAGTATCCTAAGCATACCCTAACTCAACCAAAAACTCAAGAACAAACTCAATATATAAGTATGGCTTATGATACTTTAGCTATTCTACTTGTTTATCTTAGGAACAATCCAGTTATTACTTCAAATGTGCGGTGATTAGATTAGAAATGATTAGAACTACTGAAAAAAAAAAAAAAACCCATGAATTAAAATACAGTATTTTATTTTTTCTCATCTAAAAAAACAAGCAACCCAGAATTAAGATATACATAAACTTCTCAAATTTATCCTTAATAAAATTCTGAATATTTATACAATTTCTACAGAAACATACAGTGTATCAAAATCTGCACAAATCAAATTTATAAAATGTGTAGAAATGCATAGTGATATTATCAACTTACAAAGCAAGGATATGGGAATTATTTCCAAAGCAGTCTACAGTAGAAAATAGTCATTATGGCAGCAGCTTCTGATGGTTTTTTTTTTTTTTTTTTGTGTGTGTGTGTGTGTGTGTGTGTTTGGTAAGGTTTCTGATTTCAATATAGAGGATCATTTTCATAGGTTATCTTAACGAATTGCACAAAATATCTATTTAAAATTTACATGCTCAGTTTATGTGCCACCTTTCTTAGGCCTATGCATAGTTGACAAGGTTATAATTTATTTGACAAGAAAAATGGAACCTATTTGCAAACATACAAGTAATTAAAGTACCAATTCTCTTCCTTTCTTATAGTTGATTTATTTTGCAATTATTTAAGCATATAAATTTACTCCTTTTTAAACATTTCTAGAGATGAATGAAAGTTAAAATGGTTGATTATAGATCAGTAGCAAAATACAAATAGACAGTTCAAAATTATAAATAAAATTCTGTTTAGGATGTTTAACTCACTCTCCAAATTTAAGGATTAGCCTTGGAAGAAACAGATTTGTAGACTTTTCTTTTAAAAAAATGTAGGCTTTTCTTTTTTTTTTTCCTTTTTTTTTTTTTGAGCTTTAATTAAAAATATTTCCCTCTGGCAGTAATTTGTGAGTTACTTTCATTGTAATGATATCATGATTACAGGATCAAAAATGCTTAATTTATTTGCCATTTCCCTACTCATGTTATTTGCCCCCCACTTAACATTTTATTATTTTTAAAAAAAATATTTTTTACTGATTTCAAAGAGAAACATCAATGATAAGAATCATTGATTGGCTGTCTCTTGCCCACCCACTACTGGGGATCAAGCCTGTAACCTTGTACCCTGACCTGAAACTGGGACCTCCTGCTTCAGAGGTCGATGCTAAACCACTGAGTCATGCTGGTCAGGCTTATTAATATAGCATTTTAATATTTTGAGTAAGAAAAGAGTATTTCGTTAGAAATAAAAACCTAACCAATCATCTCCAGTATTTGGTTTTCCTATACTGTCTTAGTAAATGTTTAAATCCAAACAAGTCTTCTTTTTACTGGAAAAATACTAATAGAAATATATTTCCTAAAAAAATTAATAAAGATTAAGGGGGAAAATAAAAAAATAAAGATTAGGGAACTAACAATCTAACAGAAAGGAGTTTATATTTGTTAATGAACTGTATTTTTAAATAGCCTTTTTAAATTTTTAAAAAATGTGCAGGGAATTTCATTTGGATGGAGATATAAATAAAACATCCATTCACTCTTGGCTTGAAAGGTTGCACAGCTTAGGTTATAATGCACAGGAGCTTTGTAAGGCTTAATTTAACAAGGCCTTGAAAATTCCTTCTTTAGAATGAACCTTTGATGTTTGTTTACAGCAGTGTTTTGTTGTTTTTGTTACCTCCCCCCACCCCATTTTAAGATTTGAAACTGAGAATTATAGTTTTCTAAAATGACAGGTATTGGGGGAAAGTAAATTCCAGAAGTCAATGGTCAAATTTTCTCTAGTTGGCAGGCCCTTCTGCTGTCTTAGGAGTTGGTATTAACAGAGGGCAGTGGGAATGCCAGCAAGTAGGGAACTTAATGCCACACAATCTTCAATTCCTATGGGAATTCTTTGGGATTTCATGTTGTTATTTCTTTCAAGCCATACAACATTCGATCTCAGAGCAAATGGTAGCACATAAATTCATTTCTGGGTAGTAAAAGTATTTACTGGTGACCATCCCATCATTACCATCCTATATATCTCTGAAAGCTCTTGAAATATATACTGAGAAAATGAAAGAGGCACTAAATGTGTTGAAATTCACCTTTCAAAAAAGCAGCATGACTGTGAAGGAAGGCCACCTTGGCTAATAACCTGTGGCAGTGCTTCAAAAAGATGTAAAATTAAATAAAGACACAACAGGTTGATAATCACCAAGTTATATATGAAAGTCTGGTTACTCCAACCTTTTTCAAGTGTGTTAAAAAAAAATCAAACTGCCTGTCAGACCCCTGAGTGTAATCCCAAAGAAGACAACGGTGCTTTTAGCTCTGTTCTGAACAGATATAAATGCACAAATTACCAACATCATCTTAAAACAAAACAAAACAAAAAGATGTAAACATCTATAAAGTTTAAGGTAAAAGCAGTTTTGTAAACAGTAACTGCAGATGACAATGTTATTGTAAAATCACAGTTTATCAATGTCCTTCAAACCGATCAGGAGGTGCTGGGTTTGGAGCTGTACAGAGTTATTAATAGTTGCAGCAGGTTTCAGGCGGTTTTCAGTCCTGTGAAAATTTGTGTGTCAGTAGGTAGGTTATTGGTTTCTTTTATTCTTTTTAAACACTATGGATGTTATTCATTTCCCACTTCTGAGTCATTTTACTGGAGTCACAATTGGAGAGGAACACTTGATGGAGGACATCCGAGCGGTCTAAGCACTTGCCAGAAGGAATGTGAGTAAACCTGTGCAGGTTCTGGAAAACACAGAAAAAAGGTTTTAAATTTGTACTTTTTTGATGTTACTGACATTAGAAGAAGTCCTTATTTGGCCTTCATAGGGAAGTTAATTCAAATCAGTAAGTAGGTTGTCTTGACGTTTTGTTGATGGTTTCCTTTGCTGTGCAAAAACCTTTTAGTTTGATGTAGTCCCCTTTGTTTATTTTTTCTTTTGTTTCCCTTGCCGGAGGAGACATATCCAAAAAAACATTCAGAAGAGCATGTCAGGGAGTTTAGTTCCTATGCTTTCTTCTAGGAGTTTTATGGTTTTGGGTCTTACATTTTAACCTTTTAATCTACTTTGAGTTTATTCTTATATATGGTGTAGGAGAGTGATCTAGTTTCATTTTTTTGCATGTACCTGTGCAGTTTTTCCATCACTGTTTATTGAAGAGACTGTCTTTACCTCATTGTATATTCTTGTCTCCTCTGTCATAGATTAACCAAATAGGCATAAATACATTTCTGGGTTCTCTATTCTGTTCCATTACAAAATAGTCACAGGGATATAAAGTATAGCATAGGAAATATAATACTGTAATAACTATGTTTGGTGTCAGCTGGGTACTAGACTTATTGGGGGGATTAACCATTATGCTATACACCTGAAACTAATATAATATTGAATGTCAACTGTACTTGAAAAAAATTTTTTGGAGGAAAAAAAAAAAGATAATTCAAGCAAGATGGACAGGCTTCAACCAACCAACCATATATCAGACTTCAAACTTTTCTAATAGTCTTCTAAGTACTTTTATTGTTTATATAAAGACTTATAACGTACTGCTGGTACCGCAAGTTCAGTGCACACAAACCTAAATTCATTATCTCCCCCTCTAAATCTATTTTTCTAGTTCCTATTTTAAGGACAATATCAGCTTTAAAATCCTTATGATAGAGGCATTCATGTTGTACCTTCTTTCCCTTCCTCACTTCCTCTTTCTCTCCCTCCCTTCCTGTTGAGCAGTCACAAGGTGTGATATTTGCAATATCACTGGTATGTATCCTCTCCTATTTCCATTGCAATGTCTTAGTTTAGCCCTCTTAGTTTAGCCCTTAGTTGTAGGTTTCTTCACATAGTTCAGTGTTTCTTACAGGGTGGTCCTCAGACTATCTAAGATTGTATCTGTAAGGTCAAAACTATTTTCATAATAATACAAAGACCCCATTTGCCTTTTTTCCTCGTATTGACATTTATCTGACGGTACAAAAGCAATGGTGGGTAAAAGTGCTGGTGCCTCAGCATAAATTAAGCAGTGTCACAAAACTGCTAATAGTCACATTCTGATAGTTAAAAAAGGAAATGCCAGTTTCACTTAAGAATGTTCTTGATGAAGCAGTAAAACTTACTAGTTTTACTAAATCTTGAGCCTTGAGTATAATTTTTAAAAGATTCTATAAGATGAAATGGAAAATATGCATGGCACTTCTGTATAGTGATTACCACAGTTATCTTGAGGAAAGTACACATGCAACTGTTTGACTTGAGTGTTTAACTAGCTGCTTTTTTCATGATTTGTCATTTTTTATTTATTTTTTATTTTCTAAAGTATACTAGAGGCCTGTTGCAGGAAGATTCCTGCAATAGGGCTTCCTTGCCGTCATCTCCGCTGTCCCACCTGCATCCCTCCCTTCTCCTTTGTCCCACTTGCTTGCTTCTCTGCAGCTTCGCTCCCTTCTGCAGCACTTGACTTCTTTCTACTCTGTCTTCAGTCTTTGCTGTAGGCCTGCATATGCAAATTAACCACCATCTTGGATTAATTTGCATACTTGCCCTGATTGGCTTGTGGGCGTAGAGAAGGTACAATTTGCATGTTTCTCTTTTATTAGATAAGATTTTATTGATTTTTTACAAAGAGGAAGGGAGAAGGATAGAGAGTTAGAAACATCAATGAAAGACAAACAGTGATGAGCTCCCATACACCCTCTACTGCGGATATGCCAGCAAGCAAGGTATATGCCCTTGATTGGAACTGAACCTGGGACCTTTCAGCCCGCAGGCCACTCTATCCACTGAGCCAAACCAGTTAGGGCCATGATTTGTCATTTTGACTAGAAAGGTCAACTCACAGATAAACTACAATTATTCAAACTTTGTAGACATTTTCATAAAAAGGAAGTGAGCCTTTTCCTTCAAGAAGAAAAACAACAGCCAAGACCGGTTTGGCTCAATGGATAGATTCTGGTCAAGGGCATGTACCTTGGTTGCGGGCATATCCCCAGTAGGGGGTGTGCAAGAGGCAGTTGATCGATGACTCTCTCTCATCGATGTTTCTAACTATCTCTCTCCCTTCCTCTCTGTACAAAATCAATAAAATATATTTTTTTAAAAAAGAAAGAAAAACAACAATCACAAAAAATAAACCCATAAATCTGACAGTATTTGTTACCATTGATATAAGTTGAGTTTTCAAGCAAAAATTAAGAATTTTTGAAAACTGGCAACCACCACCGTGAACATGATAGCTTCCTAATATGTGTATTTTTGACATTGCACTATGAAATTTGTCACCATTTGCAAGATTATAATTTAGTGAACCATGATTTTCTAAATGAGCAATGCATGATGTTACAAAAGCTGACATGGGTAAAAAATCCACTCAAAGACCAATGGATTTTAACATAGAACAGTGTTCACTTGTATGGTTTCAGATTTTACATGACCAATAACAAGAAACGATCACTTATAGACTTGTGTAGTAGCATCAAAGAATAGCCAAGTTATCTGAAAGTGCTATTAAATTATTCCTCTTTTACAACTGCATGTTTATGCGAGGCTGGATTTTCCTCAAAATATAATTCAAATGGAATGTAGAAGTAGTATGAGAATTTAGCTGCCTTCTAGTAAGCCAGATATTAAAGGGATTTGCAAAACTATAAAATAATGTTTTTTTCACTTTAAAAAAATTATTATTCATTAAAAGTATTATTTATATTAATATACAATAGGGCTAGTATTAATTTTATATTAATTATAAATGAATACATAAATACCTGCAAAATTTATTGGATTAATTTCCAATTTTGGATAATTTGTTAGCTATAATTTATATAAACATAATCTGTCTGAGAAGAGTCTCAATAATTTTTAAGAGTGTAAATGGAATCCAGAGACAGATACATTTGAGAACTTCTAATGAAGCTTTTCAGTTCATATTTCACAATGTTTCCATAATTATTTTCCTAAAAGTATCCATTGTTTCCTATCACTGCATTTTTCAAATAATGCCAATTGCTCTCCTAAACTTACAAAGTGAAGTTCAATGTTCTGTCATATGGAGGGCAATTCTAAACATGATTCCTAGAATTTTTCTCTCTACACCTTCATGCTAAGCCTTTGCTCACCAGTTTGTCTTACTTACTCCCCATAAGAAGTCTCTTTATATTTCAGTGATACTGGTACAATGATACTTCCTCTATGAAACTCATCAGAAATAATTCCTATTGATCTCTCTTCTGCCTTCTTATGGCATTGTGTTTATTTTAATTTCTACCATCCTCCCCCCTTTTCTGCTATTGTAGTATTATGTGCTTATTTTTTGAAGTCACTACATCATTGGGCCCCAGTATTCAGGGGTAGGCAAAAGTAGATTTAACTATCCACTTTCATTGGTCATTAGTTAAATTATCAGCCACCATTACCTAAAAGATAAATTATAAGTAAGGATATGAAAAAGTAAAATCAATAATAATAATAGAAATAATAATAATATAAGAATAAATTCTTTCATGTACTCACAACTATAAGCCTACTTTTACCCACCTGTATGTTTAGTAAATTTGATGCACAAATGTATATTTAGTGCTGTGCCCTTTAAAACATATAAAATATGCACATTCCATTTTTTTAATCTATTCTCAGTGGTAATTTCTGGTCTCTCAGCCTTTTATTACTTTATTAATATTGTTTTAGTAATAACAATTACTAGTAATAATTATTGCTATTATTAATTTCTTTGTGGAAATAAATGCTCTGTTCTTCAAGATTTATGCTGATCTTCTTCCTAACTCGTTATAAAAAAATCAGCAATTGATACACTCACCACTTTACAGTAATTACCTATGAATGTTGATGACAGGAAATATTAAGCTAGGTCATAATACATACCAACATAGCAAACAAATGCTTGCATGACAGTCAGGGTATGATAACATATTAAATGAGTAAATAAAGTTGAGGTTGCCAAGTTATTTCAGATTGGAGCAGCTTTCCGAACTTTGTTTTACAATATATTTATTTTAGTCAAGTGCATACTTTAAAAATTATACATAAATCCATCAACATGATGGAATCCTCAACTTGGCACAGAACTCTTGAATATTCACAGCTAAAATAGAAAAACTGTTCCTTCCCACAGTAGCAAATAAATATGACCTTTAAAGCAAGAAACAGGCAACATTTATCTAACAATTGTATCTATAAAACAATAAGTAGTGAAGACCTAGATTTTCAAGTGTTATTTGTCTGTCTCCAGCGCCACCTTCTGGACAACATGAAATATAAACACAGTATTTTTTGTTACATATATTTGCCCTCACAGAACACTGATTTTCCCGGGTTACTGACATTAGCTGGCCTTTGGGGATATCTCATGACCTTGTTACATGACAATTCTGTGCCAGAGGATAAAAATGATGCTTCATTATGGAACAATGGAGTCATGAGTGCTCAGGAAAACAAATGATTAAATGAGAGGGAAATGCAAGTCAATTTGAGGTTTTAAGATTTATACATTTAAATTCCACAAGGTAGGTGTTATTAAAATGAAATAGCATGTAATTATTATTTGGGAAGTTGAAGTGCAGAATACCTTGAAGTACTGCCATTCCTTATATTCATTCAGGTTGCAGTGTGTAATCATGATTTTTGATCCATCAGGCCCTTTTGTCAAACACTGGTCATACTGCATGAGTTGATTTGCTTCATTGATTCGGAAAAGCTAATAAAAAAAAAAAAGAAATAAGAAAACAGGCACCTTCTCGAAAACTAACTCAATGGCTACCTTATTTTTCTATAATATTTTTGTATGTTCAGAACTGTATATCCGAAGACCAGAATTGTATTCATTTTGATGTTAACGAACTAACACTGGGAGGATTATGTTCTTTACCCTCTTAGATACAGAAGGATCATTAACACATATTTATCACATACCAACAATGTGAGAAAATATAAGTGAAAACAGATCTGATGTCTTACAATCTAAATTGGAGGCAAGAAAACTACATAAGGAATTAGGAAAATGTCTTAGGGGAATATACATTACTGGCTGTAACATTCCAGCTTATTGGGAGGAAATGTGGAATTCTGGATAATATTTACAAATTCAATTGTTAGGGAGCAAAGCTTGCATAGTTATAGACTCACACAAGAATACATCCTAACTAGAGGCTGGTGCCTCTCTGTCAGTCGGATGTCCTTAGTGCTGCCTCAGAGCGGGGAGAGGCTCCCGCCATTGCTGCTGCGCTCACCAGTGTGAGCCCCAGTCCTGGCTGAGTGGCAACTCCCCCTGTGGGAGCACACTGACCACCAGGGGCAGCCCCTGCATTGAGCGACTGCCCCCGGGTGTCAATGTGCGATCATAGCAACCGTTCGTCCCACTGTTCAGTCGATTTGCATACTAGCCTTTTAATATATAGGACAGAATATCTTATATTAAATTCTAGATTGTGATTGCTTATGTTGAAAAGCAGTGCTGTTATTATTATATCCTCATATAACAAAGTTTTAGCTCAATTTTTTTTTTTTTTTTTTACAGAATGGTTTACTTTACCAAACAAAGAAAATTACCAAATTGAAAACCAAAGGAATTCCCAAGATCAACAAGCCGGCAGCTCTCACTGCAGAACCAACTTAAATATTATATGAAAGGAGGTAATTTACCTGGTTGCCTCCCATCCTGTGGCAGGGTCCTAGTTCAACGAAGCCTCCATTCGTCCTTCCCATGCTATCGATGCAGTAAGCAGATTCAAAGCCTCTGATCTAAAAACAAGAACAAAGAACCAATAGCAGGCAACCGTTTAGTTTTTATTATGACCTAACATCAGCGTAAAAGAGTTTCATGTTAAATATTACGGTTCATAGTGGGCATATGGGTATGTGTAATGCCAGGTTATTACTGTATTTATTGTTAGTCCTGGAATAGCTTAGACTATAGTAGTCATCTTTGAAATAATTGAGGGTCTTTAACTCAATATTAGAATGCGCTCATTCTAAGGAAGGGCATTGGCCTATAGATTTTGATAAAATACCACGGAAGAAAAAGAACGATAGTAACAATTAAGTACAATCTAAGACTCAGATAATTTACATGAATAAGAAGCAACTAAAGTTACCTAACTACAGTGGCTACAGACACTGGCCCTAGATGTCTAGACCAGGGGTCGGCAACCTTTAAGACATAAAGAGCCACTTGGACCTGTTTTCGAAGGAAAAAAAAAACCTCGGAGCCGCAAAACCATTGCGACATAAATAATACAGCTCCCTGCCCTGCCCTGCTATCTGCCCTGCTAGCGTCGGACCTGCTGGGGGCCGCAGCAAAGATTCAAAAGAGCCGCATGCGGCTCCGGAGCCACAGGTTGCCGACCCCTGGCTAGACCAAAACTGCATTTGTAAGGTAACTCCCAAATGGCAGTGAGGCACTTTTCTGGTAGCTGTCTGCAGGGACCTAAGAGGCAAACATTATGGCAACTGGACCAGGAAGTGAGACTTTTCTCTGACTAAGGATAAGGTAGGTGAAAAGCCAACAAGGTTCCATATCGGAAATGCACATTTCTTATAAAAATAACCTTTTCACTTCTTAGAAATATTATGTATCTCAATTATAAATATTACATATCTCAATTATAAATTACTATATGTTTTATTCACTCAGTCAGTATATACCCGTGACAATGGAAGAGCTTTAGAAGATACAAAGAGAAGCGAAAGCAAGTCCTGGTCCTCAGGACCTCACGTCTGCAGGGAGGCTGAGAGGCCAAGTCAGTCAGGATGGAGGGATGGCCAGGCGGGCGGAGGAAGAGCCCCCTCCCATAGCGGCCTGGAGGAATTCTGAAGCAGCTGGTGGGCTTTTCCCTGAGTGTGCAGGGAAGGCTGAAAAGTGAAACGTGAGGTGCCAGGACAGGAAGCGGTTAAATTCAGATTGAGATTACAAAGGGAGGAAATGCACCCAGTTACAAAGGCATGTTTGAAGAAACAAAGAAATGACAACACAGATAAATGACTTTGATTTTAATTATTTCTAGTTACCATTCATTCATTCATTCACTTGAAAAGCTTTTTGAGGACCTTAGTACATGGGGGTCTCCGCATTAGTTCACTGGGACACAATGGCGAACAAAAATACTAACTGACTGGCTGAGAGAGAGAGAGGCAGTTTTCAGTGCTATGAGAAATCATGCAAAAGCCACAGGACTGCCGGGACCGGTTTGGCTCAGTAGATAGAGCATCGGCCTGCAGACTGAAAGGTCCGGGGTTCCATTCCGGGCACATCCCCAGTGGGGGGTGTGCAAGAGGCAGCTGATCGATGATTCTCTCTCATCCATGTTTCTAACTCTCTCTTCCTCTCTGTGAAAAATCAATAAAAAATATTAAAAAAAAAAAAAACCCACAGGACTGAGTCTTTTGATGGAATAGGAAAGAAAAAGAAAGACTTTTCATTGAGAAAAGCCTACAATGATAATTCCTACATTGAAAGCAGTAATAATAAGTTGGAATTAGCCAAGAAAGGGAGTCAGACTGAGGGGTAGAGACGTGGCAGGCGAGAGTGGACAGTGGTCAGGACTAGAGGAGCCATATGTGCAGAGAGCAGAGGACTCACAGCTGCTCAGGGTGGTTGTAACTGGGAAGGAGTGGGAGGGACCGGACAGATGTACCCAAACTTTCCTCAAGATTCTTCTCCCCGTACATTTCACCTCTCTCTGCACTCTCCCAAACTCATCTCCAAACAATGCACTTTAATATCTGAATATCACTGATACTTACTTCTCCCCAGTCAATGTTTTTGGGTGGCAAAGGGTAGTGTGAGGTGATATCATAAGCGATCTCTTCCATGAACCATTTGAAGCTTTTGCAGTTGTGATCTTCTCGAAATTTTTTTAGCTCAGAGATATCCCCATATGCTAACGCCTTGGATTCAGGACGACTGGCATAGAAGTAGTCTTTATATTCATCCCACCAGACCTCAACAACTCTAACATAATTCTGTGGAGGAAAAAATTAATACCATTTTAACAAAAATATTTGTTATATCATAAACAGCTTATCTTGGACACCTGAAATAGGACCAACATATAACACACTTATTTCAATAAGACCTAATATTTAAACAAAAATGCAACTGAGCTAATGACTCTAATATGTCAATTGCCAAGCATAAAATCACTTTTGTTTAACTAAAAAGTAATGGACATAAACTCTTAGCTGTAAGAGATATCTATTCTAAGAGAATATATTCTGTCCTGCTTCTAGAAGAAGAATTTGCTACCTATAGGGGTTTATGGGAGGCTGGCCAGACACTGATGCTCCTCCCAGAATTATCTCCATACCATTTCATACATCATGAAAACCAATAGTTTTGTTTAATAAAAACATATTTTTGTAAGAAAAAAATAATCCCATTTCAGAAACCATCATGAAAAACAATAGCTTTAATAAAACACATCTTATCAACTATAGAAGGACCGTTTTTACCATAACCCAGAATTACCTGGGTATTTTCCCCGCTGGTGCACTTTAAGAAAAAGTAACTAATGAACAATAAAAATCAGTTGGCATTGTGATAACTGACAAAGACCTAACTTCTAAGGTTTTAGGGAATGCTGCATGTAGGCATGGGACAGATTTAGTACACACTCAATCTAGTCTCTTGGTCTTCTCTGGCAGCATCAGCAAACTGTGTTGCAAAGGATCAGGTGAGTTGGACAACCCTAACATGCCCCACCAAGTTTTATTCATGGGCAAATAGAGAGCACCAGGAAAAGGAATCACTTTTGAGAAAAAGTTTGACTACGTTGAGTTTGAAATATCTAAGAGGATAATTCTAGAAGACAATTAATTATAAATATCTGAAGCTGAAAAACAAATGGGCTAGATAAATCCACAAAAACCATTGGGAGGCACCCTGGTGGTTGAAGTGCCTGGTGCTAAAACTGGAGAGAAGAAAGTGTCTGGCATATTCGGGGCATTCTCTAATAATATGCCGAACATGACACTTACGAACAAGATACAATTAATTTGTAGAGTGCTCTTGACTTGGTTAAGGACTCCAGAAAATGAAAGCCATCAGCAGGCTCTTAGAACTTAGGTCAGCAGCTCAACAAGACTTTCAACAGAGGCTGTTATTTTAGCAATGGAACATTTGGCCTCTGTATGGAGCTTCCCTGGTTTGTCCTGCTCTGAGGGACAAAAGATATTAATCTTTCACAAGCACTACTCAAAATTTGATTTTGTTTGCTACAAAAACTCATAATTAATTTTTAAAATTAATTTAAATTTTAGTAATTTCACATGCTACTGTGAAATTAGGCCTTGTGGGATATGGCTGTCATTTTGATATATAATAAAATAGTATATATATAAAATAAAATAGTATTTTCCTCATTTGTGACTAATAGAAGTTGGTATTTTAATTTCCACTATGTTCCTTTCCTATAGAGTGTCAGTCCTTTGGAATTTATTTACGATGTCTTTATGGAGAACATTCATGAATGGGATATAATGAATAATTTCAAAGAACAATAAGATATTTCATGAGTAAGTCTAGCCTAAGTAAAAGCGAGGACCAGTGTGATTGCTTAAGAGATTGTCCTGTACTCCGCCATGTACTCTGAGTACCACAGCACGTGGTACATAAATGTTAGTTCCCTCACCTTCTCCACTTTCAGCCAGAAGACTCACCTTCATAGTTGGAGAAGAGCCAACATTAATGGGCGGAGGGTTCCCTTGCCAGCCCTCAAGACGGTAGATATGTCCCACACGAGAACAAGGGGTAAACAGTAGTTTGCCGCCACACTGCCATATCTATCAAGAAAAAACACATGTGGAAGTTGTTTCAAATGCCACAATAAATTACGGCTAAAAATTTGTCTTGTAACTGTAAATCTGAAATCTTAATTAAATACAGTGTCCACAGGGAATTTGTAAACTAAACAAATCTTAAAATAAATTGCCTGTTTTCCAAACTCACATAATAACAAAGGAGGCAGTAGGAAAGCAGTAATATACTGCTGCTAAGGGGCCTTTTCCTAGGTCCTTGTAGCTCCAAGCAACTTTTCGCAGAGTAACCTTGCCAGACCATGCAGATTCTCCATTCCTAACAGCACTCATCATTTCCATTGCTAATATATTTCCCACCTGGGTGATTATAATAATCTCCTGCCTGGCTTCTTCACCTCTAACTTCTCTCTCTTCAATGCTATCCTTATTTATAGCAAGAGATTATTCTAGTTGAAGGGCAGTTTGGGTCATGTTATTCCCTTGCTTAATATCTTCAATGGGTTTCCATTGCTTATTAAATTAAATAAAAATCTCTTAGCTTAGCATGAAAGACTCTTCAATATGGTCCTAACGTACATATCCACTTGACCTTTTTGGATGTCTGTCTTATTCAGACTGCCAGATGCTGCTAAACTGTGCTCCTCAGTTTCCTGAATACATCCTTCATGTTTCACCTTTATACCTCTTCCTATTCTATTTGCTTAGAAGTCCTCCTCCCTTCCCTTTGAGGCAAGTGAGAAGCCAGAAAAATTCCTTGGCAGGTAGAATGGGTAAATTGAGACAGACAGCTAATTCAAACTGGCCTCATCCAGCAGCTGGATTTTCCTGCCTCTTCCCTGGCATGATCACTCCCTTAAGCATTAAGCCCTCAGGACAGTGAGTTTCTGATCAGCATCGAATAATGTGCATAATGTTAGGAACAAAGCTTCAGGTTTGTTGACCACAGAAACAGGCCTCAGCTGTGTTTCAGCTCCAGGCCCAGAAAAGCAGCAAAACCAGATGAAGAAATGTCATGGTTGGCATCAGGACCAGATGCAATGACCAGTGACCCCTAACCTAGCGTGGACCAATTAATACAGGCCGCGATCCTGACTCTGTATGCTCATGTTGATGGATCAGCACATTAAAGAACACACCTGGAAAGCTGATGAATATTCTATTGAGATCCGCCCCGCAAGACTTCCCTTAAAATTCCTGCTTTAGAAAACATATAGAAAACATACAGAGACACCTAAGACAAAGGACCCAGTATATGCTCTCAAGAGCACACACACACCTTCTTTCTTCAGGTATGTATATCTGCTGTCTCTCTCCAAAGCTCTTAAGGGTTCCCATGAGGCTTGCAAGCAGGAGAGCAGTGGGCAGCGGCAGTTTGACCTGGGCTAGTCGGGTCGGTGAATCTGTCTCCAAAAGCCTTTCTTTTGCCTCTGTAACTTGTTTCCTGAGCCCACACAGCCCAGCTGGCTCACTTCTTCTGCCTCTGTGACTTTCCAAAAGGCTAAGGCAGCTCTCTGAGCAGCCAGCTCAATTTTCTTGGAGTATACTTTGACTTACATGCTAAATAAAATTCCACAATGCTATAGAGTTCTTGGCTCTGAATTCTTTCTTTGCCAAACTCAAGAATTGAGAGGCAACATTGCAGTAACATCTTTACCTCTACTTATTGATATCATATCCATTTTCTTGTTCTGCCTCAAATTCTTCCTCCAGTGAGATGCTGTTTCTTAATCACACCAACCAAATGGCATTCTACCTTCTTATCATATTATGAAGTTAAGTATACAGGCAGTCCTTGGGTTACCTCGCCATCTCCCACTTATTATAAAAAATATATTCCGTCATTTTGACATATGTACATATGTGCTTTATGATTTTTATTATTTACCACAAGTAAAGGTCAGGAATTGTTATCTTTTAATTTTTTTTACTGTTCACTTCATTACTGCTGTGTATGTGTTCCATGTGCGTGACAAAGGTGCTTATGTAGGTGCGTTCCAACTTACAGCAAAAATCGAGTTACATTGTCATAGGAACAGATTTCTGACATAACCCAAGGACCTACTGTAATTCTAATCTCTTACTGACTGTAAGTTCCTTGAGAGCGAAGACTGAGTTCTTCTTCTTCCTCACAGTGCTAGGCACTAGACATTTAAGACATGAGGCAGTGCATGTTTGCTTAACTCACACTGGGATACAGCTCTGTTTCCCTCTTTGGGGAAATGAGGTTGTGTTGGAGCACGGAAGGCCTTAGTGCGCCAGGCCTGGCCCAGTGCGGGGTGCTGCAGGAAGGCAGCTGCACTGTCACTGAGGACACACAGCCGTTGTTGGGATCTGCCTCTGTCCTGAGTCATGTCCTACAGTAATAAAGGGCAACTGTGTCAGTGGACGGTCACATGTGGCCCCAACACATGCGGACTCCCCAAAGGGCTTCTACAGCAAAAGGCTCCAAAGTCCAGAAAGCTTTGGGTGCGGGGGAGGAGGAGGTGTTTTTATTTCTGAAGCCTCCTGGTCCCATTTTTCAGACGAGCCATGTAAATATGTAGTACGTTTGGACCTTGTATTTTGTCTACTTTCCTCCAAAGGCATACATTTTGCTAGTTATTCCTTATAATTTAAAGAAATGCATTGAACAGTTTTTTGTCTCTCCCCCCACCCCCCAAAAGAACCCAGCCTTTACCTGAAAGTCACAAAAGTCAGTCACTACTGAGAAAACGCCAATTGTTTAAATGCATGGTTACCTTGTATGAGATTTCAAAGTTTTCACCACCCCAGATCTGGAGACCAGGATCGTACAGACCCAGTTCAAAGAAGAACTCTCGTTCAATGGCAAATAACCCACCAGCCATGGCTGGGGACCTGAGAAAAAGAAACAGTTAAATAACTATTAAGGATAAGCCCCTTCACCAATAGACAACACACCCTTTTGGAATACAATCGAGATAATGCACAGAAGAGATAAAACTGATGGCCAAACATTAAGAAATTTTAAAACTTTGTGAAATGATCTGTTCATAATTCCTCAATGAATTTACTGAAATTTCTAATGGAAATAGAATCATATAGTTCATTACGAATTAGAGCATTGCATCATTTCACCATTAGATGGAGCTTGGTTCCTGTGTTAATTAGATTTAGTAGAAGTCGCATTTTGTCTTTCCCTCCTAAAAATACTGAGCCATACAGCCCTGGTCTGCTAACTGCTCCTGCAATGATTCATGAGTCATTATGGGATGAGCAGAACCATACACCATGGAAGTAGTGTGTCGTTTTTTAATTTTATAGCTCAGAGGCTTGCCAAATAAGGGTGTAATTCATCTTAGTACAGTCACAGTTCATTCAGAGTTTGCAAATACAGGGCAGAAACGACACAGAAGAATTAGACATAGCCATTTACTGTGCCGGGGGTAGGATTGCGGAAGGGCGATCCGTGTGGCCTCGTGAATTTGGAATTTTTTAGGGACAAGATAAAAACCATTGGGTAGCTTTTTAGGGACAAGCCACTCAATCATTAGATGAGATATGGGCTTGATTTATATCCTGTTGCCTATATCTCCCACCACAAATAATTTAATGTATCATGATTCTTGAGATGCCTCTATTAAAGTGCCTTTTTAAAAAATCACCACACCTGCCGAAACCGGTTTGGCTCAGTTGTAGAGCGTCGGTCTGCGGACTGAAAGGTCCTAGGTTCGATTCCGGTCAAGGGCATGTACATTGGTTGCGGGCACATCCCTGGTAGGGGGTGTGCAAGAGGCGGCTGGTCGATGTTTCTCTCTCATCGACGTTTCTAGCTCTCTATCTCTCTCCCTTCCTCTCTGTAAAAAAATCAATAAAATACATTTAAAAAATAAAAATAAAAAAATAAAAAATCACCACCCCTAATATTTAATCTATACCACTTGTTCCTATTAATTCTACCTTGAAAACATATTTTGAATCTACTTCTTTCCAACTTCACTGCTCCCTTCCTGGACCAAGCCACCAGTGCTAGGACTGTTGCAGTAACTGTGCAACTTGTGTCCTTTATTCTCTTCTGCCCCTGCCCACAGGCAGAAGGGACTCAACAGGGGTCCCACATGCCAGCTCTCTCTACTCTGAGGCTCTGCTGGCTCCCTCGTCCTGATTCCTCTTCCCTGCTCAGCTCGTGCCTTCAACTTGCCAAACTCTCTTCTGACTCCGGGCCTTCAACTGTGCTGTTCACAAGCCCGAAATGTTTCCCTCCTCCCTAGGGTTGATCCTTCAACCTTCAGGTCTCAGCTCCGGTGACACTTTGTCAGGAGGGCATTCGGGCCCTCTAGGCTGAATGAGGTTATCCTTTCCATCAACTCTGTTCCAGGGTTTTATGTGTAGTTTTCTGTTCCATTTCTGCCTCACCCGCTATGTAAGTGAAACAAGAGAACCTATCTTTTAAAAATTTATTCCCAGAAAATAGTGCCTGGCACACAGTAAGTGCTCATTAAATATTTGTCGAGTGGATAAATAATGAATCAAGTAATATTTTCAATATTAAAGAAAAATCCCATTGGGACAACGTTATTCTGTCACAACCTTTCTTCTTAGAGTATACTGCCTAACTCACTAAATATTAGCACTATTACATTTTTGGTTACATTTTCATGTCACATTTATTTAACTGTTATTTAAAATTACTCTATTATAACTCTGCCTTTTTGATCTTTAAATATATTCCCACTTATCTCAGCATGTATTAGAAAATGCACCTTAACATAAAAACCAGTGAGTTCTTTCCAGGGAGACCTCCCTTAAATTTTTCTAACCCACTTAAAGAATTTTTTTTTCCCACTAGTCTATGGAATTGTCAGAAATATACATAATCATAAGCCCTTATTTTTTTCTCCCAGGATTATATTAGTCAGGTAAGCAGTAAATTCCTGAATTATTCTAAAAAAAAAAAAAAAGAACTTCAAAGGAAAATTTGGAAAATGTCAAGTAAAGCTTAAAGTTCTATAATTTCCTTATGTTTGCCATTTCAGTATTTTGATATGGTGACATGCCCAAATCCCACCAGCATTTGCATGACAGTGGAAACATCTTCCCAAAACAGAGTTCTAATATTATCGGTAGTATAACAGGGAAAGAGAGACCAAAAGCAGAACCGTAAGATCAGAAAAATAAAATTAGGCGCATTTAGAAGCCTACACCAACATTTGACTAAACAGTTCATTTGGAGTCACAGTCAACTGTTGCTGATAACAGACCCAAAAAGCACAGGAGAGCGGACATTGTTGTATTAGAAGAGTCACGGGAAGGACAAAGGCAGATTCTGGAACACAGTTTCCTTTTTATCAAGTGCTCTTCTGAGAAGGAAACAATAAAGGAGTGTATGCAACATTTGCCAAAGTCATGTATTTTTATCCATCAGATTTCACTGGCACAAAATTAACATATAAAACAAAAGGAAGGAATAAACAAAACACCCCCAAATCTCTTGATATTGCTTTCATTGCTAACATTACATCTAAGGCACCTGGATTACAGGTAATTTATGCATTGTAAATTTACAGGATGATTTTTCTTTTTTGATTGAATTTGGAACTAATGCCATATAACGCCCCCCTTACTACTCCCCCCCCCCCAAAAAAAAAGTGGCACCTGCATTTAGGGAAAAAGCAGTTATAAAAAAGGAAATGTGAATTTAAACCTGTGAAATAGTGCGGGGAAATTAGTCTTCAGAATCTAATACAGCACCTACAGTTTTAATAAAAAATGTTATAGCTTGGCAAGAGGTTAATAGGTTAGCAGCAAATGGAAAAAAGAACACAGGTAAGTGATTTAGTGATTACCGATATGGTTCAGTTTTTGTCTTTCTGATTCTCTTCTCTTGAGGGGTCAGAGGCACCCGTTTCCAGAGCATACTCCAATCCCATGCTCCTCGGGCATACCCATCTTCGTCACCACCCCCTTGGGGCACAATTTCGTATGTGTTGCCATTTATGACATCTATGATCGGCACAGTGCAAGTGGTTCTGTATTTTGTTGATGATAGCAGCAAAGATGAAATGGAAGGGTATGCATGGACCCACATATGTATACATGAGTACATGGGGAAGGAAAAAAAAAAAAAAAAGGACTTAGATGAACATTCCACATAAGAAAATGAAGGAGTAATCTTTACCGATAAGGCTCAGTTTTATGTTTTCTTTTGGCCTTTTCCTTGTGGCTTAGAGGAATACGTTTCCATAGTAAACTCCAGTCCCAGGCCCCTCTGGCAAAGCCGTCTTCATCCCCACCTTGCTGTGGTTCAATGGAATAGTCATTCCCATCTATGTAATCTATTAGAGGCACAGTACATGTAGTTCTGAAACGTTTACAGAAAATGAAAAAACATTTAAGAACCCAAAACTCACTAGTTTAGCATGCCTAGATAAATTAGCTCTTTTGTCACTGATTTTTTTTTTTTTTTTTTTTTTTTGGTCTGTTTGTCTGTTTTTTGCACTAGGGGACTTAAATATCTAATGGGAAGTAGAAGTAAATGAATGGCCTATAAAAGTCAAAGAGCCCGTTTTCATAAGGGAAGGATAGAAGATGGAGACTTATCCCTCAGCTTACAGACACATGTCAGGGACAAAGAGCCATGTCTTTTAGCTTAATACTGTTGTCTCATTTTGACTTTGGTCCTACAGGCAATTTTTCCTTCGTAATTTTGTATTGCTCACAAGATTTTCCTGCCTGTTACTTTTCCTCCATAATCCTCCATTAAGTGTGTGTGTGTGTGTGTGTGTGTGTGTGTGTGTATGTCTGTATAAAAGGATAATACTGCTCCATTTTTAGCAGTTCTCCCAATTCTTTGTTGCTTTCTATTTCTTAAAAGTAGTTGTGAAAACCTGTTTCGGTACTTTTTCTTGATCTTTGTGTCCTACTTCTTTTTATTGCAACAAACAGTTTTCATTGCAAAGAGAAAAAAAAAAAAAAAGAATACTGTATTGTATTCCTACCTTTTAAAAAAAAATAAGGAAAAAAAAGAACCCTCAAAACCTAAAGAATTTAAGTGTAGCCTGAGAATTTGGAGTAAAAAAACACACCTTGCATTTGACTATATAACTTGGTGCAGAGTCAACTCTACAACTCTAAGTTTCCATTGCTCATTTTATCAGAGGATTTAAAATGCATTTCCTAAAATGGACATTGCTGTGCTTTTTCAATGTTTAGAAACCAAGGAGAAGGGAAAAAACGTTAGGTACTTAAAATTTTGATATGGTGGAAGTGGATTTGAGAGGGTGTGTTATTCCCTCTGGAATCACTCCTATGAGATGGTGGAGGGTCACTCTGGGATCCGTGGCACTGCCACAAAATCCTGTGGAAAATCACTTCCTGACTGCTAGTTTCCACCTGGAGAGGTGAAGGTTGGTTTTCTTTCCTCACTTCTCTTGAGTCTCAAATTTCTTAATAAATGGTGCTGTGTACGATGTCCCAGAGAGGTCTCAGTTTGACAGTTGATTAGCAGCTATCTGTTTTTGGACAAATTAATTAACTTCTCTAAGCCTCAGTATCCTCTTCAGTAAATGGAGCTAATAATATCTATTCCGCACGGGTGCTGTGAGGATTAAACCAGACAGCTGGTTTAAAAATGGAAAAATCTACATATATAATAGCCTAAGAGAGTGTTATGGTCCACTGAACAACTGGTTGCTATGAAGTACACAGATCATTAGGGGGCAGATGCTCAATGCTACCCCCCTGGTGGTCAGTGAGCTCCCTGCTCAGCCAGAAGCCAGGCTCACAGCTGGAGAGAGCAGCTGCAGTGGTGGGAACCTCTCCTGCCTTAGCAGCAGTGCTACTGAGCAGTGGCAGTGGTGACAGGCGCAGCAGGGCCAGGATGAGCAGGAGCAGCGCAGGGGCCAGGCCCCAGGCTCAGGCTCTTCCCCAGCCACCTGCCGCTTGGCACTGTACACCCCTTGGGGAACGTTGGGCTGAGAGGGTGCAGGCCAGACTGAGAGGCCTCACTCGTGCACAAATATGTGCACCAGGCCTCTAGTTGTTTATAATAGGCCTTGCATTACCTCTTCTGATGATTCAGTCCTCCAGAGGGCGTCCTTTGAGCCATGCCATTTGCCATAGGGCCATGTCTTATTTGCCTAGGTTCTAAGGTAGTCACAATTCTGGACTAAAGGCAGGGAAGGCTTTTGGAACCAGAAGACTGTTTCAGATATTTCTGTAAATTTGATGGGGATCAGCACATGGCCATTGAATAGCTGCTCATTTCTAAACTTAAAGTTTCTATAGGATCCCAAAGGCTTGATACAAGTAAAACTGCTCCTTAAAATCTTGAGTAATAATTAAAAAACCAATAAATATAATTTCAAAGCTTGTTCCTTCAAATCTTTAGAATTGTTACCATGGTGTATAGGGAGCAATCATATTACTCCTAGAGAAAGCTTGTGGAGCTAGAGGCAGTTTCTCAACTATAGATGATTCTTGAATCAGACACCCTAGGCCAGTGGTCGGCAAACTCATTAGTCAACAGAGCTAATATCACCAGCACAATGATTGAAATTTCTTTTGAGAGCCAAAATTTTTTATCTTAAACTTCTTCTAATGCCACTTCTTCAAAATAGACTCAGCCAGGCCGTGGTATTTTGTGGAAGAGCCACACTCAAGGGGCCCAAGAGCCGCATGTGGCTCTCGAGATACAGTTTGCCGACCACAGCCCAAGGCTTATCCCAAGCATCCAACTGCCTGCATCTGAATCAGCCCAAAGTGTTAGTCTAACTCCACCCCGGGAAACAACTGGCTGAGTGAACAGAACACTTTATCTGTTGACTGGAACTGAAATCAGAAGAACGAGAATGTTATCTGTCTTAGGATGAGGTTTACTTTTCAACCAGGAAAGCAAAAAAGCAAGGAGATGTTACCTGTCCTTAGAAATGGGAGCTACAAGTGGTGCATACCAGTTAACTGCTACCTCACAGTGGGCATCAAGGTATATCAAAACCTTAAAAAAAGAGAGGCAGGGTGAAGAACACTCATATATGGCACATCATATATCACATACAATTTAAAGTTAAATACCAACATAAGCTAGCATTAGAGTCATTTTTTAACATACTACTATAAATTTTATCTGTTTAGGCCAGCATTTTTATTTCAGTTTTTTAAAAAAGTACTTGCAACGAATATGATTGTTTAGCTACCAAATCCAAAATGATGACATTGTAAATATCAATAATAAGAAATATTTCCTACCTGCCCAAGTTTAGCCTTCTGGGCACCAATACTTCGTGCTTGAATTAAACCTTCTCTTCTCTCATTTCGAAATACCTTTACTAGACCATTCCACTGTTTAATATAGTCATCCAGTTGTTTTTTTAAGTGTTCTGTGAATAAAAAATTCAATCAGCATTATAAATTATATGTATGTATCTAAACCAATTGAACTATTATTTTTCTCAAGAAATAGAGACAGGCAAAAGTACTTTGGCACTCAATGATTTTACACAGACCAGATTAAATGTTTAATCTCTAGGGAAATTAGGTGAAGGTAGCATTTGAGTTAGATTTTGAGCTTACTACATGCTGGTCAGTGTGGCTCAATTGGTTGACATCGTCCCATGGACCAGAAGGCCATCAGGGCACAAGCCTGGGTTGTAAGCTCAATCCCCAGGAGGGGGCGTGCAGGAGGCAGGCAGCCCATTGATGTGACTGATGTTTCTCCCTTTCCCCCGCTTCCGCCCTTCCTCTCTATAAATCAATAAAACATATTTTTAAAAATTAAAAAAATTTTTGAACTTAACATGCCTCAGAGAACTGATTAGCATGAGAAAGATCAAACATCTCTCTGAAAATGAAATAAATTATAACTGCCAATTAACATAAAAACTTAAAAATTTTTAATTAAAAACTCAAAAATTCACATGTTAATGTCATATTTGAAAGCTTTCAGGCATGATATTTTATTTGCTTTTGGCAGAAGCAATAGTTCAGGATGTCTGAGATACACTGCTTATATATCATATTGTGTGACTTCTTCGGAATCCACAAAGGATGTAGGTAAACATTTGTTTCTGGGCCATTTTTCTCCAAGTATAATCCGTATCTAAGGTTGTAGTTTTTTTTTTTTTTTAATATATTTTATTGATTTTTCACAGAGAGGAAGGGAGAGAGATAGAGAGCTAGAAACATCGATGAGAGAGAAACATCAACCAGCTGCCTCCTGCACCCCTCCCCCCCGCCCCACCAGGGATGTGCCCACAACCAATGTACATGCCCTTGAGAGGAATTGAACCTGGAACCTTTCAGTCCGCAGAAAATGATGCTCTAACCAGTTTCGGCTAAGGTTGTAGTCTTGGTGCAATGAATATAGTTCCCATCAAGTTGGTAAAAAACAATCGAGAGACCCCATTTTCTGCATTTTAAGCATCAACAGGAATATTTATGTATGAATGCATGTATATTTACAAATAAGTATATACACATTTATATAACGTAATATTTATACATGATAAATAAACAATAAATATTTTCAATTTGATAGAGAAAATTTTGTGTTATAAAAACAAAATACATTTGCCTAAGTTTCCATTTTGGCTTCCCAGGTGCAAGAGAACACTTTTTGTTTGCATCACTGTGAGCCCATGAAATTGGCTCATCTCAGCCACAACTAGCTCCTGTATCCTTAGAGATAGTTCTTGTAGACCCAAAAATTATTTTTAAATTGTTTAAACTTTTAGCCCATGGATACAAAAACAGATGAAAAATAGCTGTAATTAGTGATGAGCTAGTGGTTAAATGGGCAAATCAGACTATACTTACTACTTTACTCATTTTTAGAGGACTTATAATTACCAAGACACCCACACATGGATATTCAAAATTGAGGAGAAGAACATTTCCCTTTTTCTATTTTGCCATCCACTTTTAATGACAATTATAAACAAAATTCTCATGCTGAACTATATATTTTCCTCCAGAAAAATCTAAGTAATTTTCCCTTCAACTTGACCTTTTTTTTTTAAAGCTTCCTTTTTGTTTTTTTAAAGCCCAGTACAGTTGCTGTTTTTTAAGGCCCTTCTGAATTGCATTAGGCGCTTTTATCTAAATAAATCTGTGACCATTTTTTACAGCCAAAACCAAGTGGATGGTGTGTTCTTCAAATTTAAATGTGTAGAAAGATGGCCCCAGAGGGAACGAAATGGCTTCCGGCTTCTTTGGGATCTTAGGCTAAGGCAGCCTGTACTCTATTAATGTTCTAAGTGTTCGCCCCTTTCCTTCAGGATCGATTATCCTCCTCAACCCGCTGATGTCAGGCTGGGCCATGCGCTTTGCTGTGGCCAATGAGAAGGGGCTGAACATGACTTGAGGTGCTTGTGAGTGGAACTGTTAAAACCTCACTAGCGCTTCACCGTGTCTCTCTGTTCCCTGTCTTTAGGCAGGCAGTGTCTGAGATCAGGCTGCTCTGCCAGCCCGGGCCCTGCGGTGACCATGTGGGGCAGACCAGGGCTGACCTGCAGGGAATGTATTGTTAGAGCAGGAGAACAGCACCGTAACCCTTTGTTGTTACAAGCCACCTTGGGTGCGGGGTGCATTTTGCTTTGACCCCACTCAGTCTCAGCTGGCTGATGCACATGTGTACAGGGGTGTGCTCTATTTAAAGGCCCCAAACCTTATTTTAAGAGAATACTCTAATTTCCAAAAACCCAAGTGCTAAGAGCAGCCAGTTCCCTTGTGAAGCTTTTTTGATAAAATATGTTGTCTTTAAAATAAAACTGCTAACTCAAAATTCTAGTTTCTGAATTTAATGGGGGAAAGAATGAACCAATTTTCACTCCAGTCAGACTTACCAAAGACTATATACTTTTACTGAGGAGGGGACTGACAGATTTTAAGGTTGTTTTGAAATTGGAAAAATTAGTTAAAGCCTTCTGTACCTCTGTATTTCCTACTGCTATAAGCTAAGCAGACCCTGCCCTGTGATGGACTTTACAAATATTAGAGGTTTGTATTAACAGAAGCTCTGATCACAAAAAAATTTAAGTAGAATGGACTAAAAAAACTTAAACGCAAAATGTTATTCTCCTTTTCTGGTATGTTGTCACAATTTAAAAAAAAAAATATGCTCAGATATTACTTGTGTTAATAACACAGAACTTGTTAAAAAACCAGAACAATCACAGACATGGGATTTCTCAGTCATTTTTCTAGATTTAATTTTGCTTTATATTTGAAAAGTTTTTCAAAATCTAAAATATTACTGGTACCAACAATATCACGGTAAATACAGGGTAGGCAAAAGTAGGTTTACAGTTGTGAGTGAGTTAATTCTACTATAATTATTAATTACTGTATTATTTTCCATTAGAACAACTGTAAATCTACTTTTTGCCTCACCCTGTATTTATCTTGAAGCAGGAATAGTATTTTTAATGACTACATTCCTGTCATAAAAATTGCAACCAAGGTAAGATGTCTAAGCTAAAGGCATTTGATGACTAAAAAAGTGCAAGTTATACATTCTCTAGTATAATTAAAAATGAGTGGATGAAAAGTGATTAGCTGAACAAAAATGAGGGGGAAAGGAAATAGGCCATATTTCTATTTCTTCTCCACGCTAGCATATGTGTACAAGATCAAGATCTGGTCACATCCTTGTATAAATAGTAGAGGTTTATTCAGACAAAAGGAGCTCTACACCAAGTTTTGGAGGATGCTTTTGTAAAGCCATGTTGAATGGTATTTTCATGCTACCCATGTTCTGTTTCTGACATATAATCAGTGGTATTACTAATTGTACCCAAAAATGGTTGGCAAAACTTACTTGCCATAAAACAAATATCCTATTGTTACTTAGCCTGAGTTCTTTGATGAAATTTCAAAGGATCCAATTCAGTTTTGTGACAAGCAAAAGAGAATAACTGCTCAGATCTGGGTTTCAGCAGCACAACCACATTTTTATTTAGGATGCCACTCTGGGGTCTGAGCTGTAGCATTATCTATTTTTTTGATACTCATGTCATTAGGAAGATATATTCTGCTTACAGTAATTTATTTAAAGAAAAACATTTTAACTTAACCCACTTATTGGGAAAAATCAATGCTTAATCTAGTTCTCTTGCCAAGATGAACCAAGACTAACCAATGCCTCCCTAAATGCTATAATAATAAAAAAAACCAACCAATTTCCCTTTATTCAATATACTAAATCAAATATAAAGCAAAATAAATTTTAGTGGATACTGTCTATTATAAATAAAAATAGCTCATGGTTTCTGGTTAAATTCAATATTGTATTGTTAAAATGCAAATTATAGGCTAATAACTAGGTATATGGATTTTAGTTGGACAACTATGGTTGGAGTACCAGGTGGCATTACAGTATATGTGCAATTACATTTTTTTCAGTCTTTCAATAAATTACCTCTATGACAACTTTTGTACAATCCAAGGCCCAAAGAATTGGTACAGAGTAAGATGGTGGTTGAATACACAGACTTAGAGCCTGTAGATTTGACTACAGCTATTAATTACTGAGACAGGAATAGCATGTGACTGTTGCTAAGTTACTTAACATTTCTTAGCCTCATGTGTAAAATGAAGATAACAATATCCATTGCAAAGGTTACGGTCAGGATTAAACAAAATAATCATTACACAATGCTTGATATAGTGCCCACCTGTTGAAAATAGATGCTATCAGTAGATGCTATTGCTTTTTAAAGACTAATTATTTTGAAATCACATGTTTTTTTTGCAATTACTCATAATTAACTTATTTTATGGACAAAATGTCAGTTCCATAGCCATTACCTTTATTGCTGAAATCATCAATTAATACAATTTCTGCTAAATATTTCCTTGGGGTCCTTTTAATGACACTGTGGACTGTTCTCATGAGGGTTGACCAGCCTTCATTATGGAAGACAATGACAACGCTGGAAACGAGCAGGTTCTCATCGTAGTGCCAATACCTGCACCTGCAAAAGAGACATTTCATCATATTTATATAGCGATGACTTATAATGCTTGAATCCAAACTTATCATTGTGTTTTCTGATCGGAGGAAGTATGACTGACTTAACTAAGGTAAGTGAATAAAATACAACCTTTTACATTTTATAGGAACACAAGATAGAAGAGAGAAGCTGCTATAAGATGAAATTATTCATAGACAAAGCTACTTCCTAGACAACTAATTTTTGAATTTATACTCCTTAGCTGGGATGCATAAAATAATACTTACAGGTATAAGGGATTTTTGTTGTAGTTTTAGACAATAAGACTTAGAACTCAGTTTATTTTCCTTTTTAAAACTTGAGCTTCTGGTGCAAGGCATTTACTTCACTTGCTAAGAATAAACCACTATATAACTGTGTTCGAAAGGCTATCCTATTCTAATATGACTAAACTATTCAGAAAAAAGTTTTTTAAGGCTGAACCGTGGCATGTAGCAAAAATTAACATGAATGAATAGCAGAGATCTTGTATTGTTTACAGTTATAGATTGGCTAAAGAGGATCTCTAGCTATTTGACACAGAACTATTTAAAACTGTAACAGGATTAAAGTTGCCAGAAACCTTTTTCTAGTTGGAAGGAAACTCAAGACAGGACTGATAGATTCAAGGAGCTAGGGAAGGCTCAGTGAGTTTCACAGAAGTGTGAATGCATTTACACATATATATCTGTGTGTGTCTCTGTGTGTATGTTTATCTGATGTATATGTATGCCCACATCCTATATATATTTTGTTTGGTTATGGGGGGAAGAACAAGATAGTAAAAACAAGACAGACTAACAAGAAGGATTTGAGACCCATGTTCTTTCTGCAGGAGTTAACTTTTAGGACTAGCATTTGAAGCCTATGACCCTCTCCTTGATAAGTGGGAGCAAAAACTTTTCCCTCTCCCTCCTTCCCCCAAAACTCTCCGTGAACCAGTAAATAAGCTTGATCCCAAGATTAAATTTAAATCCATAAAAGCAATAATTCACTTTATCAGCCTGATAACCCATTCCAGCATTTAGAACAGCAATTGTTATCAAACATAAGGCCTGGTCCAAAGTACAGGGAGATAACCTTTTCTTCAGGTGATTGTTACCCTTCATGATTGTTCTAAACTGTGTTCACAGAGGCTGTTTTTACAGAAATGCAGACTGTCTGGTAATCCATCTGCATCTTTCCACTGAATGAGTGAGTAGTAAGTGCCTATTATGCCCATGATCAGAGCTGGGCACTGGAGCCAGAGCTTCAAGGAAGACACTCTAGGTCTGGCTCCTATGAGCCCCCCCCCCCCCCCCCCCCCCCCCCCGCCTACAAGACCCGAAGCAAAAATTCCCCTGTGTTGCTGGGAAAACCCTATTTGGCCTCAAGAAGGAAGGCTGGAGCTAGTGCTAGAGGGTGAAACCAAAAGGATGATAAAAAAAAAAGTACTGAGTCCAAAAAAGTGGGAAGGGAGTGGGGAGGAAAGGATGAAAACACAAGAATGACTTGTGTGCATTTGATTCAGAAATTATGAGAACTTTGAAATACATAGATGGAAGATTTATATCTTTAGATGGTATAATTAAACTATGAAAAATAAATATAAAAAGGAAAAAATTACCAGGAAGGCATGTGCTGTATAACAGCATATTTTTATTATGTGCCAGGCACTATTCTATTTGCTTTACTTTTATTAACTTATGTAATCTACTACCACCACTCTGAGTTTTGTGCTATTACTCTCCCATTTTACAGATGAGGGAATTGAGGCTCAGAGATCAATAACTTGCCTAAGATCACACAGCTAGTAAGTCCTGAAGCCAGGAAATAAACAAAAGCTATAGTAAGTTTATAAGAAATCTTGTTAAACATAAACAAGAGAAAAAGAAAAAAATACTAGCTATACCTATAAAAATACAGAAGTGGAGGAATGCAGATCTTGAAAGAAGATAGTTTCTGAAGAGACACTAACCTGGGCAGACCAAGGTATGTCTGACTTTTAGATGGATAGGGATATTAATCCCCACTCCCCCAACAAACTCTAACCCCCGTGGAGCCTCAGGCAACATTTTCCTGATTTTCTGTAGAGATGAGGCCATTGGGTAGAACACAGAGTAGAGCTTATAATAAACAAAACCATGATGTTAAGACTTAGTATGGAAAGAAGCACTCATGATATTGAGGTAAAATCCCCTATTTTGCATCATTTGTCATATTTTACTGGCATAGAATTGGTCTTCCTTCAAAACCAACTGAGAATAGAAGGTCACACTGAAATGAATGGGTTTTGGTACAAACTTTTTTTTTTTAAAATATATTTTATTGATTTTTTTACAGAGAGGAAGAGAGAGGGAAAGAGAGTTAGAAATATCAATGAGAGAGAATCATTGATCAGATGCCTCTTGCACACCCCCTACTGGGGATGTGCCCGCAATTAAGGTACATGCCCTTGACCGGAATTGAACCCGGGACCTTTCACTCCACAGGCCAACGCTTTATCCACTAAGCCAAACCGGTTTTGGCTGTATTTGGTCTTTATAAACACATACATTAATTCAGCAGACTATGAAAAACTACATTTTTAGGCTGCAAGTTCCTGAAAACCATATGTACTATCATTAATCTACAGTAATGTGTGAGTGTATTTGTGTACACACTATGTATTTGTGTGTTGAAGTCACTCAACTTTACCAAGTGTGGCCTCCTGTGACATAGGGCTCCCTGAAAAGCTTGCACCTGCATTTATTCTCTACCTTCTCTGAGCTAGCCAGTTTCCTGGCACCCCCTCAGTGAGAGGGACACAGCTGCCAATGATCCTCAAACACTGACACAGAGTGGTTGGCATTCCCAGCCACTAAACAGCCAGAGGCTTCCTAAAGGCTCACCCCATCCCTGGACTGCGCAGCTGGCGGTATCTGCAACCGTTTTATTTATTTTTTAAAAAAATATATATTTTATTGATTTTTTACAGAGAGGAAGAGAGAAGGATAGAGAGTTAAAAACATCGATGAGAGAGAATCATCGATCAGCTGCCTCTTGCACACCCCCTACTGGGGATGTGCCCGCAATCAAGGTCCATGCCCTTGACCGGAATCGAACCCAGGACCTTTCAGTCCGCAAGCCGACGCTCTATCCATTGAGTCAAACTGGTTTCGGCCTGCAACCGTTTTATAATAACGCGCCCACTCTGGGACAAACACGGAGCATGGCTTTAGAGAACGCCTCCTTCTCAGCCACCCTGCTGATGCTCTATTCATTCAGGGTCCTGCCAAGCCAACTAGGTATGCGGCATGAGGATGGGTCTCCATTGTGAGATACTAGAGAGATACAGGAGAGAACTGCTCAGTTGAGAGGTGCCAAGAGAGATCACACAGGGATGACCGGATGTCCCTGTGGGGAGGACATTAGTGGCACCAGGGACCTCGGGCCATGGAGTCAGTGAGCAGGGGAGTGAGTGCTCTGTGTGAGCACAGTGGAAAGCCCGCTGCAGGGAGCTCTGGAGAGGGGACACGAAAGCCTGCCTCTGAGGAATCAATCCATGGAGACAAGCTTCCTGCATGCGGTCCACAACCCAACTGAATCCCAGGACTAGTCGGGAAAGTTTGAGGGAGCTAAAATTCTAGCACAGTGGAGCCAAAGAAATGGCGTTTTTGCTATTTTTATTGTGATATTTGCTCTTATTTATTGTGATATTTTATCCCAGAGTTCTAGTAGCTCTTAGAGTGTCCAAGGGTGCCTATGAGGTAGGTGGTATTATTTATTTTATACACAAGGAGACTGAGGCTACATTAGGTTATATGACTGATTGAAAGCCACCATGACAGAGGCGAGATTTAAAATGAAACCTTTGACTACAAGGTTCTTTTCCTGTTTTACCACGAATTACTAACAATATGGGTGTAAAGAAAACAGAAACATGAATTCCTTGTTTTCACTCTGTACCCAGGGAATACATGGCGACTAACCGAAATGACTGCACACAGCTCTGTGGATTTCTGCCTGGTTTTAAGGGTTGAGCATACGAAATACCTTGGGGCGAACTAACAATGTTGACCTATGTCATCAAGTTGCTGTCTTCAAGTATCTTTTTTTTTTTTTTTTTTTTTTGAAAAGGCAAACATACTCAGACAGATGTGTCCACTTAATGATCTAAAATGTCAAACCACAATTTAGAAAAAGATTCCAGCAGGGAATCCGAGGACTGGACATATGTTCTGGTACATTTCTCCAAAACTCCCCGGGAAAGAAAAAGGAATATTTTACAGAGTGAGCCATATGTTTATAGCTATATTGGACTCTCATTTCAAATGAGCTTGCATACCAGAGTCTAATTTTACAGAAGTACCAGCTTATCAAACACTAATAAACTTCAGCTGAAACCACCATCACCAGCAGGATTAAGGATCCAGCTTGGGGGCCGTGGCCTGGATATAACAGAATGAACCAGGACAAGATTAAATCTGCTGCTTAGGTATTAATTTGTGCCGAACCTTATTCCACAGAGGACTCCAGGCAGCTTACAGAGACACACAGAATGCAATAATATTACAAAAAGTAAAAGTAGCAGGGGGGAAATTTACATAAAGAGAGACCGAGAAACAAAAGGAGGAACAGAAAATGAGACATTAAAACTGCATACCAACCAAAGGACTTGTATGCATGCATATGAGCATAACCAATGGACACAGACGGGGTGGGGGGCAGTCAATGGGGGAAAAAGGAAACATATGTAATACTTTAAACAATAAAGAATTCAAAACTAAAAAAAAAAAAATGCATACGGGGGGGGGGGGGGTTCAAGGACTCCTGTGTGCATAATTCTGGGGCAGCATTCACAAAGAATGCACTACGAATGGCACCCCCCTGCGTTGGGTGATTCGGTGGCCTTGAGGCTGCCCCCTGCCTCTGTACTTATTATGGGTAGGTCACAGTTTGGCTTGAATTTCCAGCAGGGAAATCTGGTCAGGGCTGTGTTTAAAAAACCAGTTGTTCAGAGG